GGGGTGGGGTGCTATGAAATTGTCAAACAATTCCATTTGTTGTAGGGTGGTCCATCTTGTTTTATTTCTGTGATAGGGTAATTTGCTACTGTGTGTCAATGAACTGTGCATCTGGTGCATGTTATGTTATTATGGGCATTGTGTCAAATTAATGAACTATGGTCCCCTACACAAAGCACCTGTAGGGTGCTGCAGAGCCATATGCCCTAAAAATTTCTGACCCTTTGTTTTTAGGGTGGGTTTTTTTTAATTGTTTTCTTTTTTTAAAAAAAACATTTTATTTTTAGGGCCAAGGAAATTGAGTTTTGAACATACAGCCATATCCTAGCTGCTGCAACTGTGTCATCAATACCAGTATGAAGTTCTGGTGGATTGAGTGAAGGGTTTCAGCTGTCTTTGCTCTGTGATTTCTTTCTTGTAACCATTTACTTTTTCTTGCATTTTGGATTGCAGATTAGGGTTGATTTCAGATGCTTCTCCAAAATTATGAGGATGAGATTAGCAATTTAAAATGAGACGGAGGGAGTATAAAGATCGGCATGGTTCTAGTGACACCGGAGAACGGTGCCACTCCAGTATCATTGCGTTTTTGGGTACTTTCGGTGCTCTGTTCGTAAAATATCAAGTAATTTGTAGCAAATCATATATTTTTAAATATCTAGTAATTTGTACCAAATCATTATTTTCGGAGCAATTTGATTTGATTTTAATTTTATGTCTAAACTCATTTGGTATCATACTATTTGAAAATAAGATGTTACTCCCTCCGTCTCGGAGTATTCGTCCAGTTTTGACTTTTGGAACTGTTCATCTAAGCAATCTAAGCAGTTTGACTCATCAAAATCTCTCAATGTGTAAGCCTAAATATAGTCACGTGTGATCTTGTTTGATTTGTCTTAACATATAGATTATTAATATATTCTATAATTTTTTAATATACAAATTACAAGATAAAATCAATTAAAGAAGTGTATTGGATGGTGTATAAAAATGAAAGTGGACAAATACTTTGGGACGGAGGGAGTATTATATGATACTTGTGTCAAAACGTAGTGTATTACTTTGACCAAAGGACGAGAGGGGATTATGATAAAATGATAAATGGATCAAAACGTCTCGATTCAAATGCTAATGTCTTTTCAGGTTCGGTACATACATTTACTCCGTATGTGAGAAAATTAAATAAATTTTTAATATCAAATTGTCATAGAAGACGTGAGATTTGTTCGTAGTTCTAGCAATGATTTAAAACAAAAAAAATTAAGAGATTTTTTTTTTTTTTGCTATGAATTGAATCTGGCTACAAAGTGTTTTGCACTTTCTAACTCGACCTGATATTAAAAATTTACTTTCAATTTGATAATAAAGATAATTTACTTTCAATTTGGAAGTTAAAGAAAATTTACTACTAATAAAATGTTAAAAGTAAAATTTCATGATTTTGGATAATAAAATTTAGAGAGAAATCAACAATCAAGGTTTACCACAACTTTTTGTAAAAGGTGAATGTTTACGTACAGATGGATTAATTTAAGATGATTTTGGAGTAAGTTTTTTTTATTTAACTTTTTTTTTAAAAATCAATTTGGACAAATATTGATCATTTTTATGGTACATATTTCAAACTATACATATATTGAGTATTTTATAAGAAACATGAAATATAAATGTATTTTAATAAATATATATAAAAAAATAAATTTACAAGATGGGAATAACAAGTAGTGTAATAATGCAAGGCGAGACTTGCTTTTTACAATATAGTGTTAATTTTGCACTACCCGTTGGAGTGACAATTCTGCTATAGTATCTTGTACGTAGTATATAATGTACTCGTATTTTTTACAATATACAAGACCCATTGAAGTTGCTCTAACATAGTGAAACTCATTCGAAAGAAGTACGAAATTCATTGAACAAAGATAGTGAAATTCATTCGATTGAAAAGAGAGTAAAGGTACAAAATGAGTTGAACTATTCGTTTATCAACTCATACGAGTGTGACTATGTTCAACTGAACATACTGAAACGAATCATTACATTAGTTTCTGTTTAGTTGATGGAAGATAAATAAAAATAACGTTTTCTAAATGAGATTGAGTTTGCACGTTAGAAAGATATACTCTATTAACCTTCTTATTCTTAATACCATGTGAGTAAAAAATGGTCCATCCAAAATTATTCCTTTTATTTTTCTTTTTTTCTAGAAGTTAATCTTCTCGTTTTTTATATGAATCCTTCACTAATAAATTTCCAACAATTTACATTTATTTTATAGTAAGATTATTTTAAATAAATTCATCCCACAATCTACATCCCATAAAAATTAGGAATAATCAAAATAAAAATATTACATGCGAACGGGAAAAGTACTTTTTTTGGGTAACCAAAACCAACTTTTGAATTATTTCATCTTTCACTAGCCAATCTAACCACAAACCATGTTCCAACCTTCCTTCCCCTTTTTGCCTCAAAATTAGTGAAGAATGTCCCAATGACAAACTTCTTTAAAACATTATCCATCCATTTCATAATAATTTTCATGAAAGCCAAAATGAAGGGAATTTCAAGTTTTCATATTCATTTTATTTAGAAATAGATGTAGAAATAAAAATAGAATAACTCCATATATATTTAAAAATTACATCAAAAATTTTACCAAGTACAAAATAAAAGATGATTAAAAGATTTTATTTTATCAAATAATCAATAAAAAATGTCAACAAACTAAAGTTCCTGTGAATTTGTAATAGTGAATTGTGTAATTGAAGGGGGTGGGGGTGCCTTTGCGTCGCGGTTGGGTGGGTGCAGGTTTATCAGGGAGTTAGGCAAGGTAGAAATTGTTAATTTTACGAACGGGACTCATAGCCCCCTGGGTCATCCCATGATATTACCGGGCAATGTTATGGAAATCGTCCGGAAAGAAATTTCAGTCGCATTTGTTGCTACCAAAAATGCTAGAAGTACACTGCAAAATACGGAGTACTCGGTATAACTTAAGTGTACCCCAAATCAGTGAAATGCACAACACATATACTTAAGCCAAAAGGCTAGAAGTGAGAAGATGATTGGAGTCATGGTCAAAAGTCAGGTGAAAAGGTTTATTAATTACTCTCTCCGTCTGGAAATATTCTTCCCATTTGATTTTTTACGGTCTCCAAGATTGCACTTTGACCACTAATATCTTTATTTATACATGAATATATTTTATAAAAATTTGATATTTGAAAGCTATATCTCAAAATGAATATATTCATATTAAATTTATATCGTAAAACAATATATCTTTTCCACAAATCATAGTCAAAGTTTACAAAGTTTGACCAAAAAAAGTCAAATGAGAAATTGTGAAGAATATTTCCGGACAGAGGGAGTACTTTCTTCCCTCATAAATTGAATTGTTTGTTTATTATTTACAGGGTACAACTTCATTTACATTCTTTCTCTTTTCTGGTAGTCATTTGATATAATAAAAAATGGGGTGATGCTAAATCCACTCCAAAAATGGCTATATCCACCCCTTTCACATAAATTTGCTAAATCCACACGAATATAAACTTTATATTAATGGGTGTGGATATAACAAATATTGGTAAAAGGTTTGGATATAGCCATTTTGGGGGTGGATTTAGCAACACCCTAAAAAATGTCACTAGTTTTGTATTTTTTAATGTTGTATTTTAATATTTAATATTTATTATTTAGTTCTATATCATTTTTCATGTAAAATGGTTTAGAAAATCATTATGTTTTAGTAATATTTAACTAAATTCTTCTATATATATTTCTGTGTTTTTTGAAAGACAAAGTTGTTCATTTAACCATAACTTGGGTGAATTTAACGATAATTGGAGTAAATATAGCAACATCCTCCTAGAAAACATATGAATAGTTTTTCTTTAATATTACCTTTTTATAAAATAAGAATGAACTACAATAGTTGGTAGAAATCTATTATGGAGGAAATAGGATCATGAGTACATTCCGAAGTGCAAAAAAAAGGGATGACGAGTACATTCATTGGACATTGTAGAAATATTACTTTTTTAAAAAAAAATAAATATGAAATATAATAGTGGGAAGAAATCTCTTAGAAAAATATTCATTATTTTTTTTAATTTGAACTCGTTATCTTTTATTCTTTATGTTTATAATTCTTGTAACTTCAAAATTACATTTTTAACAAAGTCTTGCATTTTTTTTATCCAAATTGTATTTTTGTTTTAATATCACTTGAGTCATGCATTTTTCATTTTCTGGTATGGTTTGATCATGATATGATATTGTAAGGTTCCGTTTTAAAATGGAAGAGTACTGAACTATTTGAATTAGAGAAATATTTAGTTTATCATGAAGAAGGAGCGTGACTGGCGAAGCAGAGCGACCGGGGCGTGACTGACGTGATAAAGCTACTAGGGCGTGACTCGGGCACTGCCACTCAGGGGTGACATCCATCACAAGGGGAAAGGTGGTTTTTTCAATAAATTTAATCAATCAAAATTCAACACACCTTCACTTTAATCAATCAAAATAATTTACACATTCGCACTCTATGCTCAAAAAGAAAAAAAAACAAGAATTCTACATGCTTGTCAAACGCATTTGTTGCATACAGTGTTTTACCAGATAGAAAAGCAATGGTTAACATTTTGAAACTAGGAGGGGAAATGAAATAAATTTTGAAAGCAAGGGTAACAATCCACATTTACCAAATAGAAGATGCATGTAGTAAACTCATGTAGATTGAGAATATATACGAATACAAACTATTTTGTAATAGAATTATTAGTGTATGTATCCATTTGATATGAGTATTTATAGACCTGACAAAAATTGATTTGAGAGTTGAAACTCAACCTCAAGATTTTTGATTTGAAACAAAGATTTTCTTGACATCACAATCATAATAATCTTTTATTTTTTTAAATGAGTACGTGTTCAACTTTTTATATTGTTCATAATATTGTTAAATATAATCAAAAAATTTATTTAAAATTCAAAATAAAATATTCTAATTAATGAACTTAATATGGGTATTTTGATATTTTATTACTCTTATTTTTAATGCAAAATCCAAATACTAGTGAGAGTCAAGCAAGAAAAGACTTAACAACATTCACAGGCACAAGTGTAAGAAGACCATAACAGCAAGGAGTTCATAACACAAATTAGCAACATCTACAATCACCTCTTATTTTCATCACAAGATTTAATAATTCATCATATCATGGGAGCTTCAAAATCTAAAAAACCACAGTGCTCTTTCCCAGCATCATGAAAATGGAACTTTCTTACAACAAAAGTACCCATAATAACCATTATACTCATATATATTTGGGAATTGAATAACCTGCAGACATGGCAAATCTTTAGAATTTGGTCATAACAGATGATGGGGTGGGTGGCATCTCAACAGTCAGCCTGGAAACTAAAGCTTAGATGATCTCCTTGTCTTGACATCGTCGCCAAAGGTAAGCAGAACCTTCCCAACCGCTTTCCTATCTTTTAGGGCGGCGAAAGCAAGATTTGCCTGACCATTGTTATATGCAAAGAACAAGAGTGCATCAGACATAAAAAATCTGAACTTGTTTGGAGTGGAATGATCCAACATACATCATCACATGCATCTTTTTGGACCAAGAAAGAAGGGAAAAGGTTGTTACCTCAAACGGGCTAAAAGTATGAGAGATATTTATGGTAATGATGCCCTTTGACAGCCACGACAAGAGCTCATTAACAGAATCTTCGAGCACACTTCGTCTGTGTATCTTATAGCTCCCCCAGTATAGGCCATGTATTGTCCAGTTCTGCACATGAAAATTATGATGCTTATGCCAAGCCAATAATCTACACCACAGGTTTCCCTTTGGAAGGAGATGGTTTTGAAGTGTCAACGAACCAACTCAACCAAAAGCTCATGTGGTACTTTTTAGTCAATTTACATAGAAGTGCGGTACCTTAACAAGAGCAATATTTGCTGGGATGAGAGGTATATCTCCACTTGCAAATCCAATAACCAAAATCTGTGCTCCCCAATTTAGAAGCTTCAAGCTATCTTTCGAGAGTTTCCCCCCTACTGGATCATACAGGACATCGACCCCCCTTAGTTTTCTTGATTTCAGAAACCCCTTAACATTTTCAATAACATTGTCCTTGCTCACATCAACAACGTGATCAACACCCAAAGACTTCAAAAACTGCACCTTTTCATCTCCCCTACAGTTTGCCCGGTTAGTAAGACTGCTATAAGGTCAATAGATTAGACCTTTAAAAGGTCATTGCAACGTATAATTTCATTGTAACAATCCACAAATGTTTTCCCCGTATGCATACTATTTAAAATAAGCTCAGAACTTCGACAATTTTAGTAGATTGAGCCACTTCAGCTCTTAACTTCTTCAAAATAATCAAACTCCATAGTATATTGTTATAAAATAGCATATCTAACCTGCCAAATCTCCCAAGCATGCTTAATAATAATAGAAATTCAAAATCAGCCAAAAAAAAAGAAGAAGAAAGAATTCAAAACACAAAATGAAAAACATTGGTACATTACAAGACAACCCTACAATGATTAAAGCAAGCAAGTAGTACCTTGCTACGGCAATAACAGTGGCACCACAAACCTTCCCAATTTGAACAGCTGAAACACCAACGCCTCCAGCTGCTCCAAGAACCATCAGAACCTGTCATCAAATACACTTTACCAACCAAATGAACATTGGCGAATTCCATGAGACGAATGAATATGAATGGTCTAAAAAGAACCTGGCCTCGGTGCAATTGTGCCCGGTACGAGAGGGCCATGTGTGATGTTCCATATGCCACAGGAAGTGCTGCAGCCGCGATTAGATCACACCCATCAGGCACTAGAAACCTTCAATTCATTTTAATCAAAAAGAGTTCACATGAAACTATATATGAATGAAGATTAAGAAATTACATTATGATAGAGGATTTTATTGCAATGAAAGTATGAAACTATTCTTCTTAATTGTAACACATTCGGCATTTGTTTTTCAAATTTATCTAATCAATCAAAATCAGTGAAAAATCAAAGGAAGAACTTACAAATCGGATTGATCGACAACGATGAACTGCGCGAAGGAACCAAGAGCCGTAAAGGAGCAGACACGATCGCCGGCTTTGAACTTGGTGACGCCAGCACCGACGGCGTCGACGATTCCGGAGTAATCGGAGCCGGGGATGAACGGCAACGGAGGCTTCTCTTGGTAGAGCCCTTGGATTTGCAGGTAATTGGCGAAGTTCAAGCTCGTGGCTTTTACTCTGACCCGGACGGAACTGGGCGAGTTTATTTCAGGGATTGGATGGGAAGTTGAAAAGGCGAGCGGAGAATTGCCCGACGAGTTCGGCGGGATTGTTGGGTCGCCGATTGCTCTGCATACCAATGCTTCCATTTTCCCTCTTCTTTTTTTCCCGGCGATCTTTGCGAAATGAGTGAGTTACATGAGTTGAGCTCATATAAAACTCACTAACTCAGTATAAATCACTGAGTTTGACCGATGTTATTTGGAAAGGACGATAGTGTACACATAGGAATGACCGTCCCATAAATACTACCGAGTAAAAAAACAAGCATTAAGCTATGTGTATCCCAACATTTATATTCCAATTTGTATCCGCAATTTTGTACCAACATTTTGTGTTGGTGTAAAACTAATTTTTGTTAATGCACCAACACTTTGTATCCATGTAAATTTTTACTAATACACCAATACTTGTTTCGGTGTAAACCATCGAAATATTTGTACATAACAGTAGTGTACAAATAGGATATATATTTTGGTGTAAGTGTAGCATGGTCCATATAAAAATAACGAGATAAGGGAGTACATATATTTTTTAGTACACTTATTTTTTGTATAATCGGTTTAAATAGGGAAGAATGTATAAAATTGATTGAAAAGGTAAAGTTTGTTAAGTAAAAATAAGAAGAATGACTTTACTTTTAAAAAGACAAATCTCATTTAGACATCGGCAAGATAGTTAGTGACATAAGTTAAATTAAACTTTATCACATTATGTATGTATCCTTGAAATTAGACAGTAGAAGTAGAGTACGGAGTAATTAATTTAACAGATCAAAATCTCAATAGCCCAGTCCCAATTTCAATGACAGAAGGATAAGTCCCAAATGATTGCTCTTGGGGTGTATTCCCAGTCTGCCATTTCTGAATTCCCTTCCAAGCTTTCAGGGAAGAACAAGAGAAGAAGAAGATCTGTGGATTCAAATACATATGGAAAAAAATCACAACTTTTTCTTCCCATCTTGAAATTCCCACCTCATGCTTCTTCTTCTTCTTCCTCATCTGCTGCTATTTCTGGTAACTTTCATGCTCTCGTTCTCCTTTTATGCATTTCTCTGATAATGTTTTAAATACATAATATGCAATTTGTTCTGTTACTCTTTCCTTTGATGGCTTTTCAAGATTATTATTATTCGGAATTTAGGACTTTTCATTATCACTCTTAAACTGACATTATCTTTGGTTCAAGAAGTTTGAAAGAAGAAAAAAATGGACTAAGTATGTTTTGGGAAGTGTTTAATGTATGTGAAAGACCACCTTTCATGTTTAATTGGAGTGCCCTTCTTCTTTCACTTTCCCTCTGCGTACAAATTCTTCCAACTCATGGGCTGCATTTTCTTCCCGTTTCAAAGAGGCAAAAGATACCTTTCCCTATACATTTCATCTTCAAAGTCTTTAAAGGAATAACACTCATTGTTTCAAAAACATAAAGGTATTTTTTTAATATTTTAAGTAATTCCATTCATTCGTCGAATTCATTGATTTAAGAAAAAAGTAGTTTATTGTTTTAGTATTTGAAAATGGGAAAATGGTTTCTTGGGAAAATCATTCCGTATGTGCCTAACACTGTTTATGACAACATTTTATAGAAGAAGACATAATGCAAGAGACATTAATTTGATGTCCTGTTTTTACCACATATCTTCCCTTATGCTGTTTGGTGTTTCCAGAGGAGATGTTTGGATCAAGACAAAAGCAGAAGTTGCAGGTGGCTGGAATAGACCAAGATGAATTGGTAGACCCATCTGTTCTGGCTGATCCGGACAGCTGTTTTCTTGAATTCAATGGAGTACGGGTGCACCACAAGGTATGTGATGCAGGCCAACCAAACGCGTCACAAGAAGGGATCGACTCTCTGTCCCATTCCCATCAAAGTAAAAGAACAAACTTTCCAATGGTTCTGTTACATGGTTTTGGAGCCTCGGTGTTTTCGTGGGACCGGGCCATGAAACCACTTGCCAAGATTAGTTGCTCCAAAGTGCTTGCCTTTGATAGACCGGCTTTTGGATTGACCTCAAGACCAAATCCGGTTGATAACAGAGCTTTGAATCCGTACTCTACAACGTTTTCTGTACTTGCAACACTTCACTTCATTGACTCCTTGGCAGCTGATAAGGCAGTTCTAGTGGGGTATGTCCAATCTCCTTTCTTTGAGTTTTATATTGTTCTTGAAGCTTGACACAAGTTATTCTCCTATCATGCCCTATTTTGTTCACCAAACAGACCCTTAGAGATATAAAATTTTAACATTGTTGACATGAACGAGTGACAAACTCATTTGAAGGATTTATTTGACATTTTAAGCTCGCCTTTTTAGAAAGTTGACAACTAAATCTGGACGAAGTGATTATGAAATTGTTTCCTTATGTGACTAATGAGACACCAGACACTCGGCGGGTTGTGTGGTAGCAGTCGAGGCATATTTTGAAGCACCCGAACGTGTAGCCGCTCTTATTCTTGTTGCCCCTGCAATTGTTGCATCATTTACCTCGCGTAAAGTCAACCAAAGTGCAGGAAAAAGTCAAACAGATAAGAGGAACCCAGAGTCGTCGTCGTCACCATGCAAAAAATGGAATGTGTTTGGAAAGATTTTGAGCATTTTGTCAAACTTTGCCAAACAAGTTGCGCAAATATTAACCGGCATTGTCAAAGGCATGGGAGAAATGCTCAACTCTCTATATAGGAAAGCTTTAGCCTCATTCTTGCGCTCTGCCATTGGTCTTGTGCTGGTAATGAAATTTATTATCAAAAATTTGCAGCATTAATGCTAATAGAGCCATCTATTGGGGTTCAGAATTGAGCATTTCTCAGTCCATTTTAAAATCATCTTCCTTTTTTTTCAGATGAGAATGGTAATCAGTAAGTTTGGTACAGCTGCGGTTCGAAATTCTTGGTATGATCCAAAACAAGTAACAGAACACGTCTTACAAGGCTACACCAAGGTGAGGCTCTCCTTAACAACAGTAAGCACGTTTGGGCCAGACAGCGGTGTCACTGTCTGTGTACAATGCCACTGTCTTTGACGACTAGAAACAGAGACAATGTCACCAATGTTGTTAACCGTGGTGTTAAAATAGTATTTTTTTCATTTTCTAACAGAACTGCATCCAAAGTAGCCCTAAAATTCTTAGGTAATATGGTTTGTGTGAAATGGTGTGGGTAGTCATCTTGATTTGTGACATCACCAAATTTGCAGCCTCTGAGGGTGAAAGGATGGGATCGGGCGCTTGTTGAACACACAGTAGCAATGCTTACAGAATCAAAGTTGGGATCAAAGCCACCACTTTCACAAAGATTGAGTGAAATCGCATGTCCAGGTACTCACTTAACATCTCTCTCCCTCCTTTTCATTGAGGGTAAGTTTGGAATGTTGGATCCTGGAAAATACAAAACGGTTCTTTTGACACGGGTTTCAAGTGTCATGTTATGACACCGAGGCCCAATTATGCTCCGTTGGGTCCCACAGTGGGTCCTAACCCCGGATCGACACAAAATGAGTTTGAAAAAGCATCTAAAATGAACTAATGGAGCTTGAACCAATCTTTTAATTTGTTCTTTGTTGCTTAAAGTAGTCTTATAGATCTCATTTGATGATGATGATGATGATGATGAATTGTGATGGTTCAGTTTTGATCGTCACGGGAGACAAAGACCGACTTGTCCCTGCTTGGAACTCAGAGAGATTGTCCCGAGCCATTACCGGGTCTTGCTATGAAGTGATCAAGAACTCTGGTCACTTGCCCCATGAAGAGAGGGTTGAAGAATTTGTTTCCATTGTGGACATGTTTTTTCAGAAGGTGTTTGGTGAAGTACAAGAACCACACTTACAAGTAGTTAGTTAGTTAGTTGCACGAATACTTCGTTCATTTGGTCCTGAGGGACCCTTGGGATGAGATTCATCCTAGGTTGTAGACAAATACTTTGTGCACAACAACAATCAATTCTTAATCCTTGATTGGGTCTTGAACTATGAATCATTTCCGAAAATAGATTACCCTATTCTTAGGGTACTCTGCCACATGATAGGAGGTAAATTGAGTTTAGTCTTAGAAATAAGGGAATGAGATCGGGCATTGTTTCATGTCACGCATGTTCTGGAGTCTAATGTAGACATTACTAGTTCCTTAACGTTTTTAGTTAAACCCAACAAAAAGCATTGACAAAAACAAGTTTAGGGGTCAATCGTCCATAATATTCATTCGAAATTTAACTTCTTATTTTTCTTTTGTCCTAAAATAAATTTCTTATTTCTTTTAGGAAAAGTATTGAGTGGTTCACTTTTTTTTTCTTTTGTATAAATTTCAAGCACAAATTTTATATTCTTAGAATTTTATAGTAAAAGTAAAAAATTATGAAGAGGTGGGTTCAACGAGGAGGAAATTTGCCTACATATTCCCTAAGGATCAATCCCATCCCCGAGGGCTCCCTGAGCCAGACGGTCACTGAGAAGAGATAAATTGAAATTTAATCACAAATTGGCGACAGGGAGTGGAATTGCGGTACTTGCAAAGACCCTATGCTTAGCATAGTTGTCTTCCAGCGCAGTTGCCATGAATCGAACTCGAGTCTACCCCTTGACACTCTCTACCTTTGCCAACTGCATAATGCCCACGGGCTGCCTACATATTCTTTGGTCGGACGGAAGCTCCACACGTCTGCTAAATTTCAACCCCCACCTGTTTTACTTATTTTTATGTAAAAAATGTCTTATTTCAACTACTCTATAATACTACGTAATGTGTTCCAATTCTTCCAAACAAGTTGAATATGTTAAATTTAGTTAAATAAACAAATAACTTCAAATATATTTATATTTAAGATTTTTAATGGTTGTATGTGTACCTTATTAAATTTGAAAGGTGTATAATTGCACAAAGGGAAATACTTAGTTCACAAGCACAATCGCCACAACTTCACAAACTTACTATGTGTGAATTCTATTAAAAAAAATTAAATAGTCTAAAATAATTTTAAAATGAGAATTTAAAAATAGTAAGTTTGTGACCATGTTAGTGAACGTAGCATTGCTCTGGTACAAAAGACACTGGTTTAACACTTAATTTTGGATCAATAATTATTATGCACGCAATCGGGAATTCGGGAAGGGTTGGGTCGGCAAGTTCTCTAATCCATACCTGGTCCGACTCATCTCATGTTTGGATTTAATTTAACCGAGTCGGGTTCAGATAAAAAAAAATCAGTTCGGATTCGAATATTTTAAGGTCAATTCGGGTAGGATAGGATTGACATTCCTGGACTAAATCAAATACTCCATAGTGGAGTAAGAAGCATATAGGGAGTGCTTCATATTCCTATAGAATTATGGAGATCAAAGAAAAGCTTAGCTATATACATGTGTGCCCTTTATCAAAGCCATTTCTGGCTAATATTTTTACCCAACTGAGCAATCTCCATTTGAAAGCCGAGTGGTTACGGTGTACATCATTGCGGTGGATCCGAGGATGTCATCTCCAAACCCACATGCTCTGAAGAATGGCCTGATGAAAATGTATAAAAACAGAACGGTTTATAAGACGATGCATGCCAAACCTTACACCCAAAACAGGAGGGAAATAAATGAAGAGACCTAAGTGCAAAAATGGCACGATCATCCAAGACAGCGCTTTGAAGATCGTACAAGTAGTAGAATAATATATTTCTGGGAAAATTCATGCCAATACTACATGAAATCTGAGACTTCACGCGAATACTCCAAGATTGTTAGATTATCATCAGCATCTAGGAAATTCAATAATACTTTTACAGCAATACTCACAAATTACATATGATTATAGATAATCCTCAAAAATTGGAGAATCCAGATTCCATGCAACAATGACAACAATAAAAACAAACCCAATAAAATCTTACAAAAATTGAGTTTGGTGAGGGTGTGTGCATGTATCCTACTTGACAAGAGATGGTTTTCAAGAGACTTCCAACTCGAGCACAATAGTAGGCACAAAGAAAACACATCAGTACAAACTAAGCTGGAGCACACACACGTACAAGCTGTACACAATCACTAACAACAAGACCCAAAAATCATGTAAACTATAAGTTCTTTTAGGCGCTGGTGAGAATTAAGCAATTTTGGAGTATTCATGTAAAATCTCAAATTTCTAAGAATATTGATATTAATTTTTCTTATTATTGAAAAACAAAAATTAGCAATTTTTTGCACCTTTAAATGCCCAAGTTCACACGTTTAGATATCAAACTCATTGAGGTTCATTAGTAATCCATCTTTCATATCTTCAATTGAATATATTCTTGCATAGGCGCCAAACTCTCTTTGGGCACCAATGTTTTTCTTCCGCTAATCCTAGATAGGTGTTAGGCTGCGGGCTCTAAGGTGGTGTATGAAGCTTCTTACATCATCAAATATCTGTTATGTGGAAACTAATGTACTTTGTTTGTGCGTGTGTGTTGGAACATGGAACTGAGTGTCTCTTGGAAATTTCCCCCCTACTTCCAAGTATGGAGGAAAATCCGTGCACACACTCTACCCACACCATACTTTTTGTCAAATCTTAATAGGTTCATTGGTGTTGTATGTGGAACCTGATAAAAATGCAGAAATATAAAAGAAGTCAATATATAAATGTGGAACTTACATCTCTACATCAGAGCAGAGAGCAGCTATATCATATATGCCTTTATCTGTAAGCATCCTGCAATGAGAAAATGAGCGCAAGGAGTCATATTTCATTTGCAAAAGAGCAGTTATTGGAGAGCAAATCCTGTTGTCATTTATTAGTAATCCAAGCACTGGAAGCTGATCTATAACACACAGATGCACTACCATTCATCATGGATTAGAGATTAACATAATAGTGCAAATTCAGAGAATACCAACCTAACTATTTTTTGAACTATCCTCTTGCCGATTCCCCTTCGTCGTAATGAAGGAATAACCTGCAAATTACTGAAAGTGAATCACACAAATAGACATGACAATAACAGCTCAGTTTCTACAGATCGTAAATCAACCGTCATGATCCGAAACAAAGATGTTGAGAGGAGGATGTGTGGTCGTACGTGAATGGATAAGATTCGAACCCGAACCGAACTTTGCTCTGATACCATGCTGGAATTTTAATGAGCCGAGTGAATTGGGTGGAGTGTTGGGTGAGATTTAACCACTTTCCCATATAAAAAGTCCAGATCCACTTCCTAACCAAATGTTTAAGCCAAGTGCTTCACCGTTCTTTATATGGGAGTGTTTAGTTCTTAGAGTTGATTTCTAGTGCTTAATGTGTTAGTCTTTTGTTTATGGTTCAATCGTTTCTTTTTTGAGTTAAGAATCTTCATTCGGAGTAATTAAGTTCACACCCACACACACTGTCTACTTTTTGTGAGATTTTATGGTTTTGTTATTGTTGTATGGAATTGGATTATACAAAATTACAAAGTTGGCAAAAGCTCTATATTTCCTTCTATATACTGAGTAAATATTGGATAAATCCATATCTATAAACGGAGTACTTAGTTAAATTGCCATGGTTCACAAAAAGTATTTTAAAAAAGGAGTATCAAAACCAGTGGGAAGATGATGATCGTACCATCACATCGTAGATGGAAGCAGCTAGCCCAGAATCCGAGACGGCGCGACCAAATCCAACCAATTTTCCGCTGGACGGCGTCACCGCCCGAGCCAAATCTCCTCCAAAAGCCGCCAAACGGGAGCGAATCTCGGGCTGGACAAACACCGCGACGACGACGGAGCTGTGGAGGAGAGCTTTACGGAGCTTGTTAAGGTCGACCGGATCCACTCGGCCATCGGCGTCCAGTTTGGGAAAGCGGTGGCAAGAGTGGTTGCAGACGGAGTATAGCTCGCCGACGCAATGGATATCGACGACGTTAAGGTTTGTAGCTATGAACAATTGCGGCGGATTTGGGCGGATTCCGGAGATGATCCGCCGCGTTAGTTGGAATTTGGGAGGGAGATAACCGCAGTGCACAGCCAACGACATTGAGATTTTTTCTCTACAGAACGTTTAGCCCTCCCATTTTGTGAAATTTGTACGGACTAAAACATAAGTCATTTCCTAATGTAGGACTTAAATTTTTTTATTCCTTAAATATGACTTAATAATGACTAGTGAGAAGAATAATATGCAGAAATGATGGACATTTACTTGAATAATGATCAACTCATAATGACTAAAAATCCTACATTGGGAAATAAAAATATATGGTTCTATATTAGAAAAGTCATTATGTTTTAGTCCTATATAGGTAAATTTCTCCTCCCATTTTATGTTCCAACCGTATTTGATTTTAAAATTAATATTCCTAAAGCAATTGTCATTTTCTAGCCTTTTGCATTCTAGATTATCTATTTGAAAATCAACTCATTCCTGTTTTGCTTATTTGATGATTATCTAGAACTATATTATCTAGAATTTTTTTGTTCTATTTTTTAAATAATATTAATCAGGAAAAACTTTATATTTAAAAGAACCAACAGGCTTTGGGATGTAAAAAATCAAAAGAGTAAAAAAAGTAATACATAATTAAGCAAAAAAGAGACAAAAAATGTGTAATTTATATTTTTTTAGTGACCGTCCAACCGAATTTGAGGAAATACTCGGGGATGAGCTCATCTTTTTGTTAAATATTTTAATTGAATACACTTAAACTTTTAGATTCCATTTACTTTTGAGTATTTAAATCCGAATAAATCCGTATACAAATACACCTACGACTTACTAAAATATTTAAAATAGTCTGGCCCCTATTTGAAAAAAAAAAGAGTAAAAACACATTTAGAAAATTTAGTTAGACATAAATAAGCATTACTCTTACAAAAATAAATCTATCAAATCTAACCAACTATGTTTTCAATACTTTCGTCAAGATTTTATTGATTTTTTTGTTGCATGTAGTTGTGTGACTTAAGCCCCGTTTGGTATCACCGTCAGAGATTAGCGTTAGCGTTTTGAAAAAGCTATCCGACAGTAGCCTTTAGTGTTAGCGTTTTCAGAATTAATCTGCACCACTAAAATTCTATCCAAAACGTTAACGCTAATCGAAAATGCTGTTACCAAATTAATTACGGAGTAACTTTCTCCTCTTCCTGGTCCTTTAAACTCTTTCTCTTTTCTTTTTTCTTTTTTTTCCATAAAAGTTTTATTTTTTCTATTAAAAAACCATTTCTACATCTACTAATTTTTATCATATCTATCATATCATACATTTTTACTAATAATCTATCTATCACATTCTCTTTTTATCCATCACATAAAAGGGTATTTTTGAAAAGCCAACACAAAAGTATCTCTCCTTTAAATTTTTAAAAAGTCAATAAGATAAGAACTTTAACGGAATGAGGAAATATTTTGTGATTGAGACTTTCAAAAATGAATTAATTCACTTGTATCTCCATTATATATTCTTGAGTTGTTATAAATCAAAATTTACAACATAAACACCCAATAACTTGAATTGCGTTGTGAGGCGTAAGGAAGAAATTGACCATCGTACCCTCCTTTAAAATATTTACAATGGGGCAGACTCCCATCCCGTTCCATTCACTGTCCCATTATCATTCCTCTCATTTTTTGCCTGCCTCAAAACACCTGCAATGTTGTCACCTTCTCACCATGTCTCTCCGTTTCCTTTGCATTATTCATCGTTTAATAAAAAACTTATAAATTAAATCTCTCTCTTTACAAAGCCAAAAGGAAAAATATCCCGCCTAAAATTTTGGGCCTAATCACGTCAATGGGACGTGTTTATAACAATGCATGTTACACTTGTTTTGTTAGCAGGGTACTCGAATTCATGCAAAGGTCAATGACCCCGAACTTAGTTGCTATCAAGACAAAATCAAAGAAGATGGTGTTTACTTACTTCATGCTTTTAATATTTTAGTTATTTTGTGTATTTTGATTTAATTCATGTAATTTATGAGCTTTTAAATTAATTAATTATATTTTTGTGTATGTAATTGTTATAATAGAAAAACCGAAAAAAAATTATTAATCTAAAATGGCAAAAATTTTTAATAACAACTTAAAAATAGAATAAAATTGAAAATACATTTTACTTACTTCTGTTATTAATATCTAATAAATAAATTTAATTTGAATAGAATAGGTCAATATTTAGACAAAATAAAAATCTGATCATTATTGTGGATGTGAGACATTACATGTGTGAAATGGCTGAGATGTTGAATGCTCTCAGTGATGATATAGCAGTGAGTGACTATTGATTTAGAGTTAGCGGTAGTAAAATCCTACAGATAGCCTAGTAAAATAAGAGTGGTGGGATAGGGCCAAAAAAAGAGGTGAAAGTAAGTTACTTAAAAAAAAAAAAATAGAATGGGACATGGGAAGGGACGGGACAGTGAAAGGGACAAAGGAAGTACATAGTACCCCCTTTCAATTTAACATCTTTTTGCGCGTGGATAAAAGGCAAGATTGCTTAGCGGGTACCATTCGTCCATTCCTTTCCTTGGACACGGGACTCATCCTTGTTTTTTTCCTCAGTCACAAAATATACTTTCTACCTAGTTAAATTATGAAATTTAACTAAAATATTTTTATTTATTTATTTGATTATAGTTATAAGATTAAAAAATAAAAATTATATATTTAAAAACTATATAACAAATGCTACAAAAAGAAGGTGATTTGATTATATTCTTCTATTAAATAACGAATGAAAATAGTTAAAAAACGATTCAAGTTTGATCATGTGAATAGTACTTAAAAGGAAAAATTTTAGGGTGGAATGAGTATTTGATTGTATAAAAAAGTATTTCTATATTTAAAAATTACATTAAATTTTTTACAAAATAAGCGATTACATAAATATTTTATACCAGTGGCAGATCAAGAAATACAAATGACCAAGGACAACAATATAAGTTGGAATTATTGTTTTGGAATTCTTTTTTTACATGATTTTAATTTTGTTTTGGAATTCTTTTTTTCATTGGGGGCACAAATATTTTTTCATTGGGGGTAAACGTTCAATTTACTAATTTTTACAAAATATATTTAAAAAAAGACTAGATGGGGGCGAGACCCCAACAATAGCCATGTGAATGCCGCGAATTTTAAAATCATTTTATTTACAAATTGGTACACGTACATCAATACAAGATAAAAATTACATATCAAAAAACTACGTCAAAAGTCATACAAAATAAGAGGTGACAAAAGTATTTTATTTTATCAAATAATCAATGAAAACACACAAACAAACAAAAATTATCGAGAATAGAGAGAAAATAAAATTGTAATCAAAATTGGGACGGAGGGGTACATATTCTTATGAAATAAAAATCAAACATAATAAAACAAAGTACTCCGTATATAAAGTTTTAGAAATAGTAAATGGTGAATAGGGGTGTAACGCATGGTCCCTTTGCCTCTTTTTCTCTAACTGGTGGGTGTTGCGCAGTTAGCAAATGTAAAGAATGTCAAGAAAGATCGAATTCGAATTCTGGCAACTATTTTGGAAAACAACTATGTTGGGCCTATGTAAGTATGAAGTGCGGTCTTCACTCTTTGTCACCAATCTACGATCAAAGTCTAATTTATTTTTTCTTAGTGACCGTCCGGTCGGGTCTGAGAGGGCCCAATTTACTTTTTTTTAGTGACCGTCTAGCCGGGTCTGAAGGGTCTGGATGGAGGTCATCCTTCCCTTTTATCAGCATATGAGTGAATTGAGCAGAGAGTACTTAATTCAATTGAGCAAAAAAAAAAAAAGAGTCCCAGAAGGGCCATGAGTGTTCTTGGAGTGTATTTCCAGTCTCCCTTTTCTGAATTCCCTTCCAAACTTTCAGGGAAGAACAAGGGAAGAAGAAGATCTGTGGAGCCAAATGCATATGCGAAAAAATCAAAAGTTTTTCTTCCCATCTTGAAGAAATTCACACCTCATGCTTCTTCTTCTTCTTCCTCATCTGCTGCTATTTCTGGTTACTTTAAAGCTCTCTTTCTCCTTTCATGTCCTTCTCTGAATCTCTGATAATGAGTTAAATACACTCCATTCATCCCGGAATTAATTACCAACTTTTTTGGACTTGTATATTTTCATTGATTATTTAATAAAACATACTCCGAGTAATATTTTTGTAACCCCTTGTTTTGTAGAATATTCGACGTAATATTTTAATATGTACATTGTGTTAATTATTTATATACCAATTTTAAATAAATTGATTTTAAGAATAGGAAAGTTTTGCCTCGTAAATAAAGAATTATGGAGTATAATCTAATTTGGGATGAAGGGAGTATATAAATTTGCAATTTGTGTTGTTGCTCCTTACGTATTTAGCTTTTCAAGATGATTATTGTATTACTCTCTCCTATTACTTTACTAAGCTCACTTCTGTTTGCTTGAGATGATATAGTAGTTTTTTTGAAGTTTTGATGTGATCTAAACAGATTTGACTAGATCTAAATTTGATTCAAATTAAACATAAATTATTACCATAATTTAATAACTTCTAAAAATTATAGTAATGATCAGTCATATTATAATACAATCAATATCTTTTATTCTAGAATTATTAGAATTATGGAATAAAAATAATCAATTCATTTATACATTAGAATTAAAAATCGTTAACAATAACTATTAATTCAAAAAATTCATCATTTACTTTTTAATATTCAACATAGGGAAGAGAGAGTATTATTATTAAAATATCCAATCATTAGAAAATATGAACGTTATGCTACTAAATATTTTCTGCATCTTAAATACTCCGTAATAAACTTATACTACAAATACGAATATAAATTTTTTATGCTACAGAATTTTACATTTTTCTATAAATTTTTTATGCTACAAAATACTACATTTTTCTATAAACTTTTTGGATATAGTTTTGATATACTTGTATTAAATTTTAATACTCCGTATCATTTAATTTATGAAGAGCTTCACTGTTTGACTAAAAAAGTCAAAACAAGAAAGATTTTTTTGGATCGGAAGGAGTATAAATTTTGTTTTTTTTATATTTAATTTTTTTTAACTCTATACCAACTTTCACTTGCATTGATTTGAAAATAATTTAAGTCAAACAGAAATTTTATTTTTGGACAAAGGTATTGTTGTTGTTGTTTTATTGTTGTTATTGTGCTCCCTCCTTCCCGAGAAACCTTTCCACTTTCATTTTTCACTTGTCTCAAAAACATTTCCACTTTCACTTAAAATCTCCATTTTATCCATACTAATTCCAGAATATAACCAATACCGAGTATATCAAATCATATTTATTCACTATTAATTTGCACATCACATCCTATCCTACAATAAAGTAAGGGCAAATTTGAAAAGTAACGCCAAGTTACACATTCTTTAGATCACATTTTTTTTAAATGGAAAATTTTCATAGGACAAAGGGGGTAAAATAAAAATGGACAAAAAAATTTATCAATGATAGAAAATATCAAAACCTTATGAGCCCGGGTATTCGGTCCCTCCACAAAAAAGTATGTTTGGACTTGGATTTTCTGTGGTATGGCCAGCCCGCAAACTTGAGGGGCGGGCTCGGTTTTTATGTTCAAGAGTCAAGACTCATTCATTGCCCCCTCCACAGCTCCAACTAGCATTTTCGCTTTTGTCTCTATTTCAGGAACCAAACATGGTGTAAGTGATTTAAATGGACTAAAAGTATGTGTTGGGAAGTGTTGAATGTATGTACAAAAATGACTTTCATGTTTGGAGTGCCCAAATTCTTCCTACTGATAGAGTGCATTTATAGGAAATACACTCATTTCTTAAGCTGCCCGAACTTAATTGTATAGCTTTCTTAACATGTTTTTCCCCTCATGGTGTTTGGTACGTATTTCCAGAGGAGATGTTTGGATCAAGACAAAAACAGAAAATGCATATGGCTGGAACAGACCAAGATGAATTCGTAGACCCGTCTGATCTGGCTGATCCGGACAGTCGTTTTTGTGAATTCAATGGAGTACAGATACACCACAAGATACGCGATGGAGGCCAACCAAACGCGTCACTAGAAAGGATCGGCTCACTGTCTCATTCCCATCAAAGTAAAAGAATCACAAACTTTCCAATGGTTCTGTTACACGGCTTTGGAGCCTCGGTTTTTTCGTGGGAGCGGGCCATGAAACCACTTGCCAAGATCAGTGGCTCCAAAGTGCTTGCCTTTGATAGACCGGCGTTTGGATTGACCTCAAGACCGATTCCGGTTGATAACAGAGCTTTGAATCCCTACTCTATGATGTTTTCTGTACTTGCAACACATTACTTCATTCACTGCTTGGCAGCTGATAAGGCAGTTCTAGTGGGGTAAGTTTTATCTTGTTCTTGAGATTTTTTTTTGAAAATGTTGTTCTTGAGACTTGACACACTTGTATCTCAGATTTTAGAACCCATATCATACCCTCTTTCACTCACCAAATGGGCACTTGCAGATAAAAACATAAGCATTGTTGACATGAATGAGTCACAAACTTGGTTCAAGTACTTATTTGGCATTTTAAACTCGTTTTTTTTAAAGTAGACAAGTAAATCCGGAGGGAGTATGAAATTTGTTTACTTACATGCACAATAAAGCTGAATTATTTGTTACAAAACTAATGACATACCAGACACTCAGCGGGTGGCGGTGTAGCACTCGAGGCGTATTTTGAAGCACCCGAACGTGTAGCCGCTCTTATTCTTGTTGACCCTGCAATTGTTGCACCGTTTACCTCACAGAAAGACAACCAAAGTGCAGGAAATAGTCATATAGATAACAGGAACTCAGAGTCGTCCTTGTCAAGCAAAAAATGGAATTTATTTGGAAAGCTTTTGAGCATTTTAACAAACTTTACCAAACTTGTTGCACAAGTAATAACCGGCATTGTCAAAGGAATGGGACAAATGCTCAACTCTCTATGTATGAAAGTTTTAGCTGCATTCCTGCGCTCTTCCATCACTCTTTGCCTGGTAATGAAATTTATTGTATGTTTTTTTTAATTTGAGTTGCATACTATGAACAAAACTTTGCAGCATAAATGCCTTGCATGTGTTTGTTTAAAATCGTCTTCCTTTTTTTCAGGTGAGACTGGTAATCAGTATGTTTGGTACAACTTTACTTCGATGTGCATGGTATGATCGAACGCAAGTAACAGAGTACATCTTAGAAGGTTACACAAAGGTGAGGCTCTCTTTAAGAACAGTGTGCTTATAGATCCTCTAAGACAGTGTCACTATAAGACAGTGTCACTGTGATGGCAGTCTCTGAGGACCAAAACACAGATGATCCCACCAAACACCCTTGGTGCCAAACGTGGAGCTAAAATAGCATTCTAATTTTCTAACAAAAGTGCATCCAAACCCGCCCAAGTTTTTTTAGGTCATATGGTTTGTGAAAAATGGTGTGTGATTTTGATTTGTGATACCACCAAAATTGCAGCCTCTGAGGGTGAAAGGATGGGATCGGGCGCTTGTTGAATATGTAATAGCAATGCTTACAGATTCAAAGTTGCGATCAAAGCCGCCACTTTCACAAAGACTGAGTGAAATCAAATGTCCAGGTACTCGATAAACTTCTGTCTCTCTCTCTCTCTCTCTCATTGAGGGTTAGTTAGGAATGTTGGGTCCCGGAAAATATGATGAAAACGAAAAAAGACTGAGAAAGCTAAAAATATGATTCATGTTTTGTAAAAAATTATAAACATATTTTAAGATTTCTTGATTTTTTTGTATAACAGAACACGTCGGTCGACACTGGCAGTTTTGGATGTTATATTATGACAGAGGGACCCTATAGCGCTCTATTTGAAATCCTATTCATGAAGTAGATCCTACCCCTACCCCTAAAAAAACAGTCACTTTGCCACCGGCCCTCCCTCCCGGGTTGATAAAATGCTACAATGACACTTGATGTCATAATATGACATTTAATGTGGGTGTCAAAAGATCCTCGCTCATAACAGAAATAGATTAGAAAAATGAGTTTGAACAAGCATCTAAAATGAATTAATGGGGCCTGAAACAATGTTTTGTTCTATGTTGATTAAAGTACCCTTATAGATCTCATTTGATGATGATGATGATGATGAATTGTGATGGCTCAGTTTTGATCGTCACTGGAGACAAAGACCGATTCATCCCTGCTTGGAACTCAGAAAGACTGTCCCAAGCTATCCCTGGGTCTTGCTATGAAGTGATCAAGAACTCTGGTCACTTGCCTCATGAGGAGAGGGTGGAAGAATTTGTCTCCGTTGTGGACAGGTTTTTTCAAAAGGTGTTTGGTGAGGTAGAAGAACCACTCCTGCAAGTAGTTAGTTAGTTAGTTACGCAAATAATTCGTTCAATTGGTCGGTCCCGAGGGACCCTAGGGATGAGATTCATCCTTGGAAAATATAAATATTTCGTGCACAGCAACGACAATCAATTCTTAGTCATTGATTGGGGGTTGAGCTACTGTACACTATTTCTAATGTTTAAATGCAAATACATCATTGTAAATTGCTCCCTGCCTTGTACCACTCTAATCATTTCCAAAAAAGATTAAACTCACCCTATGGTACCCAGTCCCATGGTAGCAGGTAAATTGAGTTTCACCAAAAAAAATAACGAATAAAGGAATGAGATCTGCATTGATAGTATAAGTGCTTCGTGACACATATGTTCCGCAGTCGAACCTAGACATTACCCTTTTGCACTAGTTCCTTAACCTTTTATAATTTGTAAACTTCAAAACTAAAAATATAATTTCGGGGGGGACAAACGTGCTATGAGCAATGATGACAACATGTAGTCAAAAAAAGGTTAGCAGCAGAGGAATGTGAAAGATTATGAAGAGGTGAGGTCCACAAGAAGAAAATTTGCCTACACATTCTTTGATTGGAAGGAAGCTCCACTTGTGTGTTAAAAACAAAAACACACTTCTCGTTTAGAACGAAATATGTATGAGTAATTGAGGACTCCATACAATAAAGGGAGTAGATTTCGAGTTCATTCTGGCCTCCGGGTATTAATTTACTACGTACTTTTAGTATGGGGCTAACTTAAACTGGTTGAATTTGGATATTTTATCCGATTTAGATCGAGATATTTTAATGTTTAGTGAGTACTGATTGGAACATCATCTCTAAGTCATAGAGTTAATGACGAAAAGTGGAGGAGCCAAGGAAGGTGAAGTGTTGTGGCATGCGACTTGAGACTATGAATAAAGACGTGAGAGTGTGACGAGACTTGAGAGAGAGAGAGTGTTTAGTAAGAGCTTTGCACAAGCGTGGTTGGGATTTAGACTTAGAAGCGAACCAAAAATCATTATGCACGCCATCGAGAATTCGGGACGGGTTACTCATCTCATGTTTGGATTTGATGTAAGCGGGTCGGGTTCAGATAAATTTTTTTCACTTCGGATTTGAATGTTTTAAGGTCAAGCCGGGTTAGGATTGGATTGTCATCCTTGGACTAAACCAAATACTCTGCAGTAACAAGCATATAGCGAGGGCTTCAATGCCATTTTCTGCCGCAGTTTTTACCCAGCCGATCAATCTCCATTTGAAAGCCGAGTGGTTACGGGGTACATCATTGCGGTGGATCCGAGTATGTCATCTCCAAATCCACATGCTCTGAAGAATGACCTGATGAAAATGTATAAAAGCAGAACGGTTTATAAGACAATGCATGCCAAACCTTACACCCAAAACAGGAGGGAAATAAATGAAGAGCATTCTTACGAGTTTAAATGCAAACATTGAGTATAATTATGAAATAGGCCAAGTACAGAATAGCACAATGATCCAGGGCAGCACTTTGAAGATCATACAAGTAGATTAATACTGTTTATTTCTAGAAAAATTCATGCCAATTCTATAAGAAATCTGAGACTTTACAAGAATACTCCAAGATTCTATAATTATCACCGGCAGTCTTAGAAATTCAATTATACTTTTACAGAATACTCCAAAATTATATAACCAAATGTTTAAGCCAAGTGATTCACCTTTCTTTATATGGGAGTGTCTAGTTCTTAGAGTTGATTTCTAGTGCTTAATGTGTTAGTCTTTTGTTTATGGTTCGATCGTTTCTTTTTTGAGTTAGGAATCATCATAATCGGAATAATTAAGGTTACTCCGATTATTGTGAGATTTTATGGGTTTGTTATTGTTGTATGGAATTTGGATTATTTATACAATGATGGCAAAAGCTCTATATTTCCTTCTATATACGGAGTACTGAGTAAACATTGGACAAATCCATATCTATATACGGAGTACTTAGTTATATTGCCATGGTTCACAAAAAAGTATTTTAAAAAAGGAGTATCAAAACCAGTGGGAACATGATGATTGTACCATCACATCGTAGATGGAAGCAGCTAGCCCAGAATCCGAGACGGCGCGACCAAATCCGACCAAATTTCCCTTGGACGGCGTCACCGCCCGAGCCAAATCTCCTCCAAAAGCCGCCAAACAGGAGCGATTTTCGGTCTGGAAAAACACCGCGACGACGACTGAGCTATGGAGGATAGCTTTACGGAGCTTGTTGGGGTCGACCGGATCCACTCGGCCATCGGCGTCCAGTTTGGGAAAGCGGTGGCAAGAGTGGTTGCAGGCGGAGTATAGCTCGCCGACGCAATGGATGTCAACGCCGTTTAGGTTTGTAGCTATGAACAATTGCGGCGGATTTGGGCGGATTCCAGAGATGATCCGCCGCGTTAGTTGGAATTTGGGAGGGAGATAACTGCAGTGTGAGTGCACCGCCAACGACATCGCATTTTATGATCCAACAGTATTTGATTTTAAGATTAATACTCACTTAATATTTTTTTCAAATTTTTGTAGATAAATAATGCTCCTCATCTTAAAATTAATTTTTCATTTTATATAAATATATATTATAAAAATAATATATTTCAAAATTATGTTTAAAAATGTATCTATTAATAAAACATTTATATGAAAATTTAAACTATAAGAGCAGTAAAACTATGAAAAAGAACCAAATTAGAAGTGTAACATATTTTATATTTTATAATAAGAGTTAAAACATGAACTTCTCTAAATAGGAATAATTTATTTAATTAATTTAATTTTCTCACGTAGTTAATCTCTTTTTTGCATAGCTCCATCTCCCTCTCTTTTCTACATAGCGCCATCATTTTTTATAAAATGTAAAACAAAAAATATACCCCTTAATTCTTAAAAACAGCAATATACATGTTGTGCCTCTACCGCTCAATGCTTTTACTCCTTGGATTTGCAATACAAGCCTATAGCAAGAATACTCACACAAAAAGTCCATCGTCGTTGGCAAGTACTCGGTACTCAGGAGGAATTTCGTTGTTGGCCGGAGTAGCCTAGTTGTCAGAACACCAACTCATAACCCCTTCTTTATTCTCCAATCTGAACTACTGCCACCATCACGCTTGCCGCCACCGTTGTCTAGTGGCATCACAATCAGCATGTCATTGTCTGCCGCAGTGTCACATTAACTATTTATACAATGTCAAGTAAAAACACATAACATTACATATGACAACGCACAATGTCATATATGGCAATGTATAATGATAACGATGATAATGTACAGTGTGAACATTTAAATTTAAACAATTGAAAATGACTGGAACAAAAATTAACTTAAACAATCGAACGAGCGAATATAAGAATCAAATTCAAAAGAGCTTTACAAAAATATTTTTCAAAAAAGCAAAAGAATTGAATCTAAAAATATAGTTTAGCTTTAAACAATTAGAAGAGCATAACATAAAACTTCAATAATTTTTTAGGGTTGATTTTGCTTAACGAGGAAGGAATCTCTAGAGTTGTGGAGATGAAACTCTAATATGCGAAAACAATGCATGCTAACCATTTCCAGATTTTGAAAAGAGAGGTGTTGCAGCTTGTGATTGGGGGTGTGGCGGTGGCCTGCAATTTGGAATTGATCTAACTCCTATTTAGAGGAGTTTAAGTTTGATCTCCTATTTCGAAGATATGACTTTTTGAGGGATTTATTATTAGGATGATATTTTAGTCTTTAAGAGATATTGATATTGAAATACTAAATGATTAAAAATTTTAAATTAGAGAGATAACGATATAAGTTTTTCAAATCACAATGCTATTGATAGAATAAACTTTGAGAATGCAATTAAAAAACATACGGAGTATTTTATTAATTTCCACACAGATTTCCACCACATGGACAGAGTAAAAAATTTGAAAAAATAGAGAATGAATTAAATAATCAAATAGATCCAAAGTTGGGTGTCGATGGTTGATACTCTGGTCCCTCTTTGCACTCTCTTTTCATCTTCTTCCTCACTCACTCTCAAACGCTAAAACCCAAATTCTTCTTTTCTTTCTTTCACTCTTGTTTCTTTCCCACCCACCACACATCACGCTCTACTTCTTTAATCTTTAATCATTAAGATAGATTAGAATATTAAACAGCAAAAAGAGAAGTTCCCACCAAGACTCTTTTTTTTCTTCATTTTTGCCCCAAATCCTCGTTCCAGATCTTCATCAAAGCTCCCATCTTTGAAATCTCTGCTCAGCTCCGCCGTTGTTTTCTGTAAGCTCTTCTCCACGGCTTGCATTTTCGTGTACTGGTTTCTTATACTTTTCTTGAATGTGTATGTACGAATCTGTGTATGTAAAACTGGGAAAGATGGTTGCCAACAATCAATGATGTTGAGGTTTCTGTGGCAAAGACTCTATCTTTCTCAGGACAGATCTGATTTGAGGGTTGTTTGGTTTGATCTGCCAATTCCATTTTCTGGGTGGAGTTGACTATGGCTAAATATAGGGAGGTTTGAATGTGATGTTCTTTGTTGGTTGTTTAATAGAAATTTTTATGGCCAGTTTTGGAATTAGCATTGGTTGTGCGATGTCAATGCCTGACATCTTCTAAAGTGATTTATTGTTACTGTGTTAAGGTTGTCCATAGAAACTGTTTGTGCATTGTGCCTTCCAAGTTCTGGGATCTGATGGAGTCGAACTCGGGTTACTGCTGAAGGATTTTAAGGATTCCAGGTTAGTATTCTAATTTAATTAGGATGATGACAATGATTCGTAAAGACTTCTTCCTTAGACCCTACTCTTTGAGTCTTTGTTGTATTTTACTGGGTTTATTGTTGTTGTTGTTGATGACAACAATATGAATGGTTGAAGTGATTTTGTTTAATTTGTGTCATCAGGCTGACATTTTTTCCTGGTGTCGAGCACGATGAACGCTAATGAAGTCTTGGATTACATTGAATTTCGGATTTACCCTAGCGAAAATAGGTAACTCTTACCATTCTATTTGATGGGGTTTATTTTTCAAAGCAACTCAATGTGCCATTGGTTTTAAGATGAAGGATGGCGAAAAATATTTATTACGAGTATCATCATTTGTTTTCCTTTTTTCCCTCTATGTTTTGCAACTTTGCAGCGATTGATGATCTAAAATCATTTTTCAAGGTATTGTTACCAATATCTTACATTCACTCAAATTAATGAGTGAACACTCAAGCCTAAAGACTGCATCAAATATTTTGTTGTTTTCGGGCATCATTTAATCCATTTCTATTTTTTAAAATGACAATTAAGGTAAAAGAGTGGCTATTGTAAATGTTTTAGCTTCGGGCAGATAATGACACATTGAAGTTCCCTTACTTCTTCCCCTCTATGAAGTTTTGGATAGTAAATGCACCAGTGCATCTAGGGTCTAAAGGAAACGGCCTCTCTGCTTTTGCAGGGGTAAGACTGCATACATCTTGACCTCCTCAGACCCCAACGGAGTTTGGGACATTCACTAAAATGTTAAATTAGTTTAAGATTATATTCTTTGGTGAATTGATGGATTTGGTGCTTCCTGTTTGAGGTGGCAAGTGCTAAAAACATGGCCCTAACCTGTCACAATTTATTATTATTATTATTATTATTATTATTATTATTATTATTATTATTATTATTATTATTATCATCATCATCATCATTATTCTTGAATAGGTATGAAGCTTGCATAAGCTGTCACAATGAGATAGAAACGGCAAGTTCGGGGCTTCTAGAGCAACTTGCACTGCATTCTTCAATAGCCAAAGCTTTGAGCTTGAAAGGATCAGAATCCTATTTTAAGCTCGAACCACCAGACAATCTTAGCGAGGCTACATGGTTTTCAAAAATCACATTAATTAGGTTTGATCATTAAAAACTTTCATATTTTTTTCATAGTAATAATGCAGCCTCTGATTGACAAATTATCGGCATAATGTTTGACTCCTTGCAATCCCTTCTTTATTTAGGTGTCTTAATATTATTAATTCAATGGATATACTGGAGAAGTTCAAAGAAATGGAGAAGGAGATATCTCAGCTTGAAGAAGCACGAAAGTTTCATGCTTCTTTATATGCAAAGGTGACACCTTTATGATCTTTTCCCCATTCAAACTAAATTTTCACTTTCCCGCCAACGAAGCAACTATGACAAACAATTTTTTGTGTGTTCTTAACAGGCTGATGATAATTATTATACACCGGATTCTTCCAAGTATGCCTTTGTTATTCTTTTCATATTGAATTTACTATTTTGTTCTTCCAAGTATCTCTAATTATCCCTTTGGTTGGGCAGGAATGAGTTGCTGCGGGCAATAGATTTACGGCTCACAACGTTAAGAGGCGAGTTGGCTGATGCTTTTGACCTAGCTGTTGGCACCACTTGTTCTTGTGAGGATATTATTGGAGTTGAAAAATTTAGTGATCATTTTGGAGCCGATGACTTGAGGTATAAATAATGTAATATGTTCTTCATTTCTTCACGCACTTTCCGTAGTCGGCTTTCACTGTATACATGTTTTAAAAAACTTTTGGAAAACATCACTTTTGGTCCCCCGAATTATTAGTGACATTGGGTTTATGTTTTGTTCTTTTCACCTTGTTTTTAACTGGAGTGGAGTCTGGATATTTAGAATACAAAGCTGAAAAGAACGACTTATTCCTTGAGTAGTTATTGAACTTATTGTTTTCTAGTCCCTTGTTAAAGGAAAACGCGATTTTGTGATACACTTGTGTCTACATATCTCAGGAACACCTTACAAAAGTTGGTTATATGGAGAGGGGAGAACAAAAGCACAGACACAGCAAATAAAAAACAATCTGTCACAGAACAGGATTCAGAGACAAACCAACCTGTTTCATCAGATCCACCAGTAAGATATGGTGCTTCGCCAGCTAAAGCTGCACGAGCCGAGAGAGGAATCTCATCAGAATCTGAGGATTCTTCTTCTTGCGCAGCTGAAGAGCGGAGTCGGCCTCTTGCACGACCATCTTCGCCGAGACGGTCTGCCTCTCCCATGAGAAGAGTTCAGATAGGACGCAGTGGGACCCGGCGACCTGCCGCTTTAACCATCAAGAACCTAAGCAGCCACTTACCCATCAGAGAGAAGCGAGCAAGTAGAAAAGATGAGAGCAGCAGTGGTGGGGAGGAAGAAGATTCTGAAAAAGCATTCAAAAGATCCGAGCGAATGATGAGCGTGCAAGATGCAATAAATCTTTTTGAAAGGAAACAGAGGGATCATCACCACCAGAGCACTGTTGATGTGAAGAAGGCTGTTTCTGTTGTTGCAAATAAAACTGTTCTGAGGAGATGGAGCTCTGGAATGTGTGGTGAGAGCTCAAAAGATCCTGCTTCAATGGCTGCCAACAGCCTGGAAACTGAAAAAACAAATCTTGATTCTGATTCTGGTGTGGGATCCAATGCATGTGAAGAAAAAGAGTCCGCTGTGGAAGAAGAGCAGCAGGGTGATGGTGTCCATACAGAGAGCAGAAGATTGACATCATCTGCTGAGTGGAACCGCCAAAAGGAAGCCGAGCTTGATCAGTTGCTGAGTAAAATGAGGGAAACAAAACCAGCAAAACATGAAAATGTTGAACCCAATGATGTAAAAGACCAAACTGCCATTGAACATCAGAAGGGCGGTTTGTATAAAGAGAAAAGGAATGATCATGATGATAAACTTAGAGGAACTGTTAGAAGCAAGGAAAAGCAACAAGTTAGGGGTAAACCTGACTTGGCAACAGGAAAGGTAAAAACTGTTAGTAAAAAACCCATAAAGAAAAGCAAAACACTGCCTATGGAATCTGGAAATTCCAAAAGTGAAACCCCTAGACCTGCCGACTTGAAGAAAGTTTCAACAAAGGTACAGTCCTTGCCTGCCACGCGCAAGTCGTGGCCATCTGCACCGTCTCCAAGAGCTAAAACTCCACCTCCTTTAATGGCATCAACCTCTCCTGCTACTGCTCGCAGACGATCACACCCCAATACACTGCCAGTTCATCAGAGAGGCAAGGGACCCACACCGCCAGCAAAGTCTGCTGAAAACAGTGCAAGAAATGCTAGTGGTGACAAGAATCAGCCTGCAGTGACCAAACCCGCAAAAACCAAAGTGGCCAAACCTGCTAAGACCAAAGCTCAACCAGTCAGTGCAAATCTTGATTCCCCAGCAAAATCTAAACTTTATAACAGCAAGGTATCCAAGAAAAGCAGTGTGGTACCTCTTGAGTCAAAGGAGACCCCAAAAGAACCAAAGACTTTTCTCCGTAAGGGCTCTGGGCCAGGATCTGGTGTGAGTCCTGTCACGAAAAAGAAAGTGTCTCCACCAGAGCAGTCTTTGAGGGACTCTGTTGATTTGGTTAAAGATCCTATTTTAACTGGACCCATCGATCAACATTGTGATGGGCTTCTTGATCCACACACGGAGACTGAGACAAACAGCCCCTCAAAGTGTGAAGAAACAGAAAGTTCTGATATACTCCCCACGAAAGATGAAAATGATTTTTGTGAAAACCAAATAAAAAATGAGGTTGAAGAAGAAGAGACCGACATTCCCCCCACTGCCTGGGTGGAAGAAATAGAGGAAATCGATACCGGAAACTCCTCTTCTGCTGAAGTGGGCCCTGTGAAAGCTGCTAGTCCAAGAGTACGCCATTCTCTTTCTCAAATGCTGAGGGAGGAAAGTAGCGAACCTGAGACTACTATGGAGTGGGGAAATGCCGAGAACCCGCCAACTGTGGTGTATCAGAAGGATGTGCCAAAAGGATTCAAGAGACTACTTAAGTTTGCCAGAAAAAGCAAGACTGATGTGATATTAAATTCATCAGGGGTTGCTGAAGGAGAGGATGGCAATGAGGAATCTAGAGTAAGCTCTAGGAAGGGTTCTTCTGATAAACCACTCAAGAAGACCGCATTTCATGGTCATCAAAATGCAGTAGGTCATCAACGTCCTGGTACGCCTTTTGTGTTTTGCTCATTTGTGTTCAAACATAATGAAATGTGATATCATGATTTAGAGAAAAATGGGTTATTTGCATATTATGATAAAATGCATATTGGAAATTCAGTTGCTCAGAGTGTTTCTCAGCAAGTGGAGGAAGGTCGCGTTTCAGCTTCAGTAACATCTGTGAAGTGTAAGTTTCTGTTGTCTTCAAATTGATTTTTCTGCCAATATATTTAATTACCCATTAATAAAAATATAGAAAGTTGATAACTTGTAATAGTGCATTGAAAAAGTATATGAAATCACTCTTGCATCTAAATCCTTCTTTGCCACATCAGTTTCCTGCAAAATTATTAGCAGGTTGCATTATCTTTTTGTCATCTTTAATAGTATGAATGCCTTTCATTTCAGCATCGAGATCGTTTTTCTCTCTTTCAGCATTCAAGGGAAGCAAGCGTGCTGATTCTAATCTTCGATAAGACGTACCATAATTCCCTGACCCTATCATATGTTCTCTCTCAGAATCGATTCGACGGCCATGTCAAGTAAATTTGTTGCACCAAAGAGGTGGGAGTACATGCTGTAGCAAATTAAGTATCTTCATATGCACTCCATGGGGTTCCTTTTTTTTTCTCTCAATAACTTGAAGATTATTCATATCTTTAATTATTGTGTGTAATGCACTAATGCTCCATAATGGAAATGCATTTTTTGTAGGATGAAAAAAAGTGTTGGATTTGTAATTTTATGCAGACTGAGTCTTTTATTTGTAGATTGTACAATAATCAGTTTGCTATTTGATGTTATGCTGCCTAGCCTTTATAAGTAAATTTGAAATAGATGATTTAAATTGAGACAAAATGAAGAAATATTAAGAGAGTGATGTTTTACCATTGATATTGTTTTTTTAAAAGATAATGTATGTCCTTTCAAAAAAAGATAATGTATGTGCATCCTTTCATGATCATGCTTGCATGGACATTTCAAGATATAAGTTTGAATTCATTTGGTACAACATTTTATGATTTTTCTCAATTATTATTTGCTACTTTTTTATAAAAGAATTTTATAAAAAATTGACTTCCAAACTCGTTGAATTGGAACATTCATCTACTCCCTCTGTCCTAAAACTATCTTCCCACTTCACCTTTTTCTCCGTCCTAAAACTACCTTCCCATTAGAAAAAAGAGATGTCAAATGACATTAATACCCTCATGTATTTACACCAATTATCTTCTAACTCTATATTTTGAATGATTGCAAAAAAAATTTCAAAAAATCTTTTTTAAGGAGGGTAAAATTTGAAGTCAAAGCCAAAAATTAAAAATGAGGAAAAGTCAAATTGGGAAGAAAGAATTATGACGGAGGGAGTAATTATAGAAATTGACTTGTCCTCTCCTCGAGAGTCGAGACATGATGCTCAAAAAAATTTACTATACGGGAAAGGTTGAAAGGCTCAAAAATTTTTTATTTCCTTTTTGGGTTGTCCCAAATTAATTCTTCTTTCCTTTTTCGGTAACTTTTTTGTGGCTCATATTTTTTTCTCTATACTTTCAATCACACAATACTCTATATCATTTTTGATCTTAAACTCCGTGTCTAAGTCATATAAAGAATATTAAATGGGAGGGAGGGAGTAGAATTAATGCCTTTCATTATCTTTTTTTAACCACAACAGTTTCCCAAAAAATTATTAGCATGTTGCCTTATCTTTTTGTCATCTTTAATACTCCGTGAGTCTCTCTGTTCCTAAATATATCTCACATTTTTATTACTGAAGTAAAATATCAAGTTTTTTCAATTTTTTTTATTCACATATGAGTATATAAATAAAAAAATTACATATCAAAAAACTAAATGAAAAGTTTTTCGAAATAAGAGGTGTCAAGAATATTTTATTTTATCAAATAACAAATGAAAACGTAGAAAAAATAAAAGTTTTGACGACTGCTGAAAAAGCAAAAATGTGAGATATATTTAGGGAGGGAGGGAGTAGTATAAATGCCTTTCATTTCATAATGGAGATCACTTTTCTCTCTTTCAGCATTCAAGGGAAACAAGCGTACTGATTCTCATCTTCGATAAGACACACAATAATGCCCGGGCCCTTGGAGCAATGGAAATGCCCTTAGTGCCGGGGGTGCCATGGGGTGTTCAACGCCTCCTCGGCATTAAACAATGCCCCCCTGGGGCGTCATCCCGACATCACAGCCTTGTGTCAAACGTTTAACGTAATTGATCTCCCCCACGGCTAATTTAGTCGTTACACTCAAAAAAATTCTTTAACTTAATTTTTTTTAATAAATATCAAACTCCAATCCTCAATCTTCTTAACATCCTTCTTTTTTTAATCTCCAATCCTCGATCTTTTTCACATCTTTCCTTTCTTCAATTTTTGTTAACATGAATCCCTCCGATTCTTCCTCCGACGTTCTCTAGCCGAACAAGTACGCGACGTGGCTCTTCCAACCATACGAGAGTAATTTGGCATTGTTCGAAATGCAAACATCGGTGAGCCTCGATGACCCGGAGTTAGTTCTGGACACTCAACCGGAACCATCAGGAACCAAAAAAGTGCATGCCGGAAGAGTCACAAAGTGAAAGGCAACAAATCGATGATCAAGGTGGCACGGTCAATCTAAAAGTAGATGTTGGCGAAAGAATCCTTGTTGGTGTCGGCTTGGGTTGACGTATCCGAGCATCCTATCGTTGGTAAAAATTATATGTTTCTGAATATATTTGTGATCTTATTTATATATTTGTGTTAAAAAAATTTCGTTCAAGTATATACTTTTTAAAGGTTCGGAGCAAACGAAGGATGCGATGTTGGATCGTATCGAGGAGAACTTTGCAGCGATGAACAAGGACACCTCGTACCGTACCCGAGACCAACTCAATTCGAAAGGGGGTCACATCAACCATAAAGCCCGAAAGTTTATCGGAGTTTACGAGAAATGCCCTCGGTCCTGGACGATGATGATATTCTCTGGCTTGCCACGACCCGGTACCAAGACGATGAGCACCAAGACAAGGTGTCCATTGATCTTTGGAGAATTTTAAGTCATTCACTAAAATGGCAACAACTCAACAATTCTGAGGCCGGATCCTCAAAGAAAAGATCTTCCGTCGAGGCAAAGGTTAAGGTTGATGACACTATTGGTTCGTCCAAACAAAGGCATCCCTTCAACGTAGACGGTTCCGATGATGTGGACCCCATTCCACGGCCGACCGGAAGAAAGAATGCAAAATCTATTGTCTTGGGATCTGAAGGGTCCGGCTCTGTTTCTTCTCACAATGATATAGGTCGAGCAATTGTTGAACAACTTAGGGTGTTCAATATTAGAGAATAAGAGAGTGAGAGAAAAAGGCGAAGGAAGGAAGAGGTCGAAATAATGAAAACCGACCTTGATATGTTATCGAGCTTCAAACATATGATTTTCGAAAGAAAACAAAAAGAGATCAAGGCTAAATATAATTTATCTTAGTTTTTTTATTAGTATATTTTTTTATTTAATATTTTTATTAAATGTAATTTTTATGAATCATTGTCATTTTATTCTTATCATTTTTTTATTTAATGTTTTTTTATTAAATGTACTCCGTAATTTTTATGAATCATTGTCATTTTATTCTTAATAAATATAGTTTTTTATGAATTGTTTTCGTTTCAATTTAATTAAATAATGAAATAATTACATTTTAATAATTTAGTTTAGAAGATGTTTATTTAAAATGTAAAAGATAAAAGCTTAGCTTCGAATTCTTATCCAGTAAAGTAAGTAAAAACAAACGTGGGAGAGAGAAAATTCAAAATCCCAAAGTTTCATGAGTACTTCCAGTGCTCATGATATGTTCTCTCTGAGAATCAATTTGACGGCCATATACAATATTTTTTCAAAATAATTGTTCATTACATGCACTTGTTTTTCCATTTTAAAAAGGGTCAAAACTTCATTTTTATTCACAGATTGCTTCTTATTTACTATATAATTCTTACCATTTTTTTGTTTATTTCCTCATTTGATTATACTAATGCAATAATGTTTGTGTTATTATTATTTCCATATTAAAATCTGTGCATTAATAGCGAATACATATCTCCATATTAAATTATGTCCAAAATAATTACTCGTATTTATTAAACGCACTTGTTTCTCTATTTTAAAAAAGGGTTGAAATTTCATTACTTTATTCACAAATATGGAAATGAATGAAAACAAAAATCAAAACACCACACAGATTCTTACTCCGTACCATTTTATATATTTCCTCTAATTTTACTAATGTAATAATATTGCACTAATATTTACCATTTTTAAAAAGCCGTATATCTAGAATAATGAACTACTCCGGGGTACAACATAGCTACTTCCTCAAATTTTACTAATGTAATAATATTGCACCAATTTTTACCATTTTTAAAAAGCCTTATATCTAGAATAATGAACTATAACATATCTACTGTAGATCTTAAATTGATCATAAATGGAAGACATATCTTAAATTGATCTTAACATATCTCCTCTAAACAACTGTGCTTCCTTTTCTGCGCACGTGAACCCTGGCCAAAACTGAATCGACCCATCTCTGCTTCTTTTTTTTTTTTTGCAGCAGCAGCAGCAGCAGCCATCTCTTTTCTTCTCCAGGCATCCACCATCTCTTTAAAGTTGAGATGGATTGCCTCCCAAACCATTTCTCCCCCAACGCGTTTGCTAATAAACACTGAAAAATTACGCAGAAACAAATAAAGAAACTAGTATACTGAAATACAGATAAAATAAATCAACACCGAATAATGATTTAATTTTACCGTTACAAAATTCGCCTCCGGTATGTGAGTCTTTTTCCCAGGCATATGCCATTGCCTCTTTTGCAAATGATAGCGCCTCAGACGTTTTAAGAAGTGGAATGCTCACTTTATGATTAGAAAAAGGCTTCTTCACGAGTGTCATTTGAACGTTATTAAACCTGCGATTAAAAATGTACGTGTGTATGTATGCAAGGAGTACAGAATGAGATGAATTTGCTCGAAATGACACAACTGGATAGAACTCGAGATTGGTGGGGAAAATAATGAAGGATAGTCTTTTATCAAATTATGAAAACAGGATCTAACTTTATAAATAATACTCCATAAAGATGAAGGAAAGTCTTTATCAAAATATGAGCAAGAATCTTAAACTCATATAACTAATAAAGCCAAGGAGAACCCCCAATGATAAATTTCTATGTAATCTTTCATAATCAATAAACATGACTAGATGTCTATTTATACAAAGAGACTCTAACTTATGCTAGTAAAAACTTACTCATAAACCTCCCACTAACTGACCCCTAACTTCTCACTAAGTGGAATTAAATAATTATTAAATGATAAATATGAAAAATAAAAACCCAAACAGAATGCTTGCTATTACTGGAGAGAAATGATAAGGGTAAGGGACAAATTCAATGCCATGCCAAACCAGCAACTATATACCACTAAGGCAGGGTATAAATGGCTACAAGTGGATAAGACGAAGCCCCAGTGGGTATGGAATAGTTTGACTCCTCCTAAATTCAGGTTTATAGGATGGTTGTTCTGTAAAAGGAAGATACAAACTAAAGAAAGGATGGCTAGATTCCTGAATATAAGTGCAGAGTGTGAATTGTGTGGTAACGCAACTGAAACCCAAGATCACCTCTTATTGGAGTGCGAAAGAGTGAAACCAGTATTCCAAAACATCATGGAATTGTTCAACATAAAGCTTAGACTCTGGGATTGGAATTGAGGAAGAGATGCACAGATTCAAGGGGGGGAAGGAAAAAAAGATTATGCTGGCCATTTGGGGTAAATATGTTTACTTCATATGGAAATGGAAGAACGAGATTAGGCACCAAAGAAGGAAGACAAGTGAAGAAGTCCAAGTCCAAGCTAGCCAATATGTTAGAAGTTATCTCTATTATATGAAAGCCATGTCTTAAATATTTGTGTTTGACTGTTGGATGTTTGCCGCTTGTACCCAAACTTTGGATTGGTAATAAAGCTTGTGTTTATGTGCAAAGAAAAATGAAAAATAAAGACTTAAAAATAATTAAATAGAGCTAATTATTTAAATATAATATGCCTTAGCCAACCAGCTTGGAACCTATCACCTCCCCTTTTACCTTTATTTATTAATAAAAATTTCATTTCATTAAAAAAATGTATGTCTGCACGTACCTCTTGAATAATTCAGTTTGAGCATATGGGGATCCAGAACCATGTGCAGCAAAAGCTGCCCCGGCAAATCTTTTCTTTAAACGTTGCCCTGGAGACAGGGCAACCACACGTGGGCACTCGCTGCTTAAGCAACCAACAACGAAGAATGGCTGTGAATCAGATGGTTCTTTCATTCTTCTTTCGAAGGCATCAATGATGACTTCGAAATTTGCTGAAGATGGAATGCTCTTGTCTTGGGCAACGTCTCTTGCAATTTTCTTACATTGTTGCCTACTTCCAGCCATTAAAACGACCACATTACCCATTTTTAAAAATTTTTCACTTCTGTCAAAGACTGAAAACATTAAACAACAATTAGCAAGAAAACTAAACAACTAATTTCTATCAAACAGAGAAAATCATACCTCTCCCAGTGGAACGCTCAGTGGATCTACTATCCGAAGCCATAATAAGCTTCGGATAGTTGTCTTTCACATCCATATATATAAATCCAAATATAGTGGTTCCACGCCCCTGTAAAAATATCATCTACCTTTGAAATGTGCAAAAACTGAAAGACATGGGCAAATTGATTGAAGATAAAGTAAAGAACAGCTCACAAATTTAACCTTGAGGTGCAACACCACAAATCCTAACACAATACTAGTTGTTACTCTCAGTTGAGAAAAACAAGAAAGACAACAAATTGCACACATATAACTAGACCTGGCAATCGGGTCAATCGGTTCGGGTCTGGGTCGGGTCTTTTCGGTTCGGGTCTCTTTCGGATATATGTTATAATCGGTTCGGGTCGGGTCAGTTCGGTTCCGGGTTTATTTCGGTTTGACTGGTTTTCGGTTTCGGTTCGGTTTCGGTTCGGGTTTATATCGGTTCGGGTCTGTATCGGTTCGGGTTTGTATCGGTTCGGGTTTGTATCGGTTCGGGTCTGTATCGGTTCGGGTCTGTATCGGTTCGGGTTTGTATCGGTTCGGGTTTGTATCGGAGTACAAAATAAAAGATTTGTACATGAAAGTAGTTACATGGTTTGCACTCATAATTTAAATATGTTTTTTAGAAACATATCAACATATGTAAAAATATATAGGTAATTCTTTTCTTCCAAATTCATTTGATAAATGAAATACTAATGAATTTGATCAATTTCGGGTCTAATCGGTTTCGGGTCTAATCGGTTCCGGGTCTAATCGGTTCCGGGTTTAACCGGGTTCGGGTTTAA